CGAGAGCTAGAACTCGCTGTAGTGTAAAACTCGTAAAAGGATTGATGAAATCATTGCACTAGGTTTTATTTGGTGCACCCTCTGCGTCATATGGGAGTGCGACATCTGTGCGATGCTCTCATCACAGCTGCTGATGTTATGAGGTCGGTTGTGAGTGTATTGTGAGGTCCATGCTCTCGAGACGGTAATGAATTGGAGGAAGGTAGTGGCGACGGAGAGGCAACGATCTCGCCTGACCCGACTGTCATATCTTAGTCGACATTGGGGACTGCTCTTCTGATATTAGAACTTGTTTTATAATTACACTCATTTCAAACATCCACTTTGGTAAACGAATTTCTAGTTTCTAACTTCCTCTACAATGCCATGACACCTAGTCGCATTCATGCAAGTGTGCTCTGTGAAGCTAGTGAGGTGAGTGAATCCGAGGAAGGAAATGTGCCATCCACGTAACGGAGGTGGAAGCATGGATGATGGGCCAGGTGCTAAAGTCAAGGCGCTTAGGTAGTGCAATTGGTAGGCGTGTCAGTTTCACAAACTGAAGGTAGGGAGTTTTAGTCTCCCTCTAGGCATGCGATTTTACCCTCCAATGCATTGCTCGCGTGTTCGCGCTCACACCTGCCTGCCTACGACACTGACTGCTGATACTGAGTTGAGGTGAATGGATGTCAACAAACACCCACTGTGGGACTCGAACCCACAATAAAATAACTCATTAAAGAATAGTGCTGCGGACTTTCGTTTTCGGTTGCAGCGTGCATATTTTCAAGGATAAAAGAAAAGGTAAATTCGGCTTGAGTGCAATCAATGAGGGGATTAGTAGTAGAAGCCACTTATCTAGCCAGCAGTAGACGACATTATGTTAATGCTACAAATGGATATTTGAAGTGCATGGAAACGTTGGCGTAGGTACTGCCTGTATGCTTTGCATATGTGCGTTGCGAATCCGTTTGTCTGTGCGAAAATCTGCATCTGATTAGGCAAGTTGAAGCATGTAAATGACGTCTCCTTCCTCACCCATATTGATGCAAATAAGCAGCTGGAATCCTTCACCGCTAATGCAAGGGCTCTAACCTCCTCCAACGGTTCGAATCCCACTTGCCTTATGTTTTTGTGTGCGTGCGTAGGTGAGCAGAGATGTCGATGTGCTGTGGGGTGCTGCCACCCTCCACTTCGCCCCAACAATGACGTTTCGTGTGCTTAGCATTTGTCTCTCTCGCCCTTCCTACAAATCCACCTATTCCATTCCTGCTCTTCTTAATTCAATCGGTATTTAATACGCGCTCGTTAGCCCTCCCTTCGCAGCCAGAGCGTTCCTCTTTACAAGCATGCCAGCCTATCCTATCTCTTCTCCTCCTTTCCCTTTACCCTCACCTTTCTCTTCACTTCTTACCCCTAGGTTTGTTCTGTAAGGGGCAAAACGGCCGAAGTGTAATCGAGCATTTTCCTTGAGATGCATTTGGTGGAGTAAGATTCCCTGGACCCTAATCTACGATTTTCACTGCCTATGTATCGGCTTAGATATCGTGTGCTCGCATTCGTTGAGGGACGATCCTCCTTTTGACATCTCTCGGCGCATCCTTTTAATACTTCACACCACCTCCTTCCCCTTTTCTTCTTCCATTTACACCAGTGGAATAGCGCCCTCAATAACATTTCACCATTTGGATATTATTCACCTGTTTTCCTCTCATTCTCCTCAAGCACTTCCTTTGTCTCCCACTCCACGATGATTGACACAATTCTCATTCCTGATGCATACATTTCCATTGCAGGTGTGATCTTCGTTGCGTTTAATTAAAATAACAGGCACAATTTAGACAAGTTTTGTTTTTTCAAAAAAGGGATTTTTAAAGGCATTCACTAAAGTTTGCAAGCAAAATTTTTGCTAGAATTTCGGCAGGACTCCTTTCTTCCACCTGCCTCCTATTTCGTAATCTCGGTGCAGCAAATTTAAGTAGAATAAGCAGTCTGTGTTTAAAATTTGTTGAATTTAAGATTTTGCTTATTGCTGCAGAGTGTGGAGCATGAGAATTAATGTGGAGTGTCCACGATATTTGCTTGCGTCAGGCTTAAATACTGCTAGTAACATGGAATTTCGGTTTTGGCGTCGAATTCTGCTTGATTGTAGGCAAAGCATGCAAAATTCATTGCCTATTGCAAAACGGAGGCACCCAAAAAGCAGAACAGAATGGTTAGGTCCAATGGACGAGATACTTTGTAGTGGAGACAAGGATGTGTTGGATTCGTAGCCTTCCTAAACAATCCATCGTCTTGGCCGACACAGCCTAGAGGACATGTGTCGTTCGGATTGTCTGGGTGATACGCTAGCTAATGAGCAGGATGAGTGTATGGATACGTGTTGGAAAAGCCCAGCATTCACTTCATATTTTCCAGCTTCGCCTCTATCTATATGTCAAAGCCAATAGTTTTTTTTAATAAGCAAGGCATGTTCAGCCTGAACTAGGTTTTTTAGAGTCCATAAAACTGAGGAGAAAATTATATTGAGTTGCATACCAAAGATGCCTGAGTGCGGATGAGCTGCCAGTGTGCAGGCTATCCAATTTGAAAATGAGCATTTAAAAAAACGAACATTCTCGCATGACTAAGTTTACCGTTATTAGGAAAATTATCA